ACACCCCCCCCCCCCCAAACAGGGAAAGTCAGATTTAATAGATTACAGCTCCACTTTTCCAGTGTTTCATTCTGCCAGAAGTATAAAGATGTGATTTTTTTAAATTCTGTTTTCTTCTCAAATCTACCACGGGGGTTCAGGAAGATTGGTTTTGGATTTTTTTTTCAGTATGCGCCACTGTTTAAGATACATGTACAACGGGAACAGCATTTTATCATCTGAACGTATAAGCCATTTACCTGTTCAGTAGCGTCAGAGACCAGTACCTCAATCTCATCAAGAACAAGATGGCAAAGTCTACAAAATAATAAACTGTTATGTTCAAGCAGTCTCAGGAGGCTGTACGGTGTAGTCACGATTACTTCACCTATGAGTAGGAAGAAGAGACACACCAACCTTAATCTGTGCAAATACACCCACAGCTCTACTAAGAGATCTGAATTCATCCACCAGGCTCCTAAACTTGAATGATCGATGTAAGAATACAAACTGCTGAAACTGAACCTTTTACACAGTTCTTCATAGTTTTATCCAAATTTCTTGTTTCCTTGGCAAAAAGGATTACTTTTAAAAATGCAGTTATCAATTAAGGCTTAACACAGTGACCAAACAAAGAATAGTAAAACTAAGTGTTTTAAGTAAATACACTTCGGTATGGCAAGTCTCCCAACAGCTCTTTTCTTACTTCTATGCTTCCTCTCCTCCATGAAGTATCCTCTGTATTCTACTAAGTTATATGCACAATTTACTGAGAATTTATTGCAATAAGCAAGTTGGAAACCACCATTAAAAAAAAACAAAACCCAACCTTTAACTAAAATTTAAGTTGTACATGATGAAACTTTGCAGAGAGCTATTACCGCCTTTTTCATCCTTCACTTTTCCAATATTCTTTTTAGATTAGAGAAGAATTGTGTTAAGTATATATAAGCAGTAAAGCAGCATCAGACATGTCCCCTAGGTATTTGTCAATTTAAAAAAATAAAACCCATGTACTTGAAATGCTTACGTATTCGTTAGAAGTATTTTTTAAGAATATACACATATGCATTACTGTGGTGGGCACACAGATGCTCACTCGCTCCCCCCCATTGCCTGTGGGACAGGGAAGAGAACAGGAACTGTCAAAGTGAGAAAACTCATGGGTCAAGAAAAAGCCAGTTTAGTAAGTGAAGGGGCAGGGAGGGAGGGATACAAAGGTAACCACTGACATCACCCCACAAGCAGACATATGCCCAGCTACTCATCAGTTTTTATTGCTGAGCATGCCATTATACAGTACTGGTTAGTTTGGGGCAGCTGTCCAGGCTGTGTCACTTCCCAGCTTCCTGCCCACCCCAGCCTACTCACTGGGTTGCAGACTGGGAAAAAGAGAATTCTTAACGCTGTGCAAGTGATGCTCAGCAAGAATCAAAACACTGGTGTGTTCTCCACACTCTTCCAGTTACAAATCCAAAACACACCACCATATAGACTATGAAGAGAATTAACTCCATCCCTGACAGACTCAGTACTTCTGTCCAGCAATAGACATTCATGTATCAAAAAAAGCTATTATAAAATCTGGTTCTAAATCAACAAAGTCCATGATTAATTCTAATTCAGCATGATCTTCAGCAAATCCCTACCACTAATTTCGCTCAAAACTAATTATTATGGAACTTAAAAAAATACCATTTACTGCTAAATAGCTCTACTGAAGCTTCATGTATCACTACAGAGTTATGCATTAAAGAAATAATCATTTTATAGAACAAAAACCTGAAGAACTATAAATTGTTTCTTTCACAATTTCCTGCAATAAAGGCAGCCCACATTGTTTTCAAGCATAATTAAGAAGATAGAAAGGATTCTTACATCCTTGGATTTTCACACTTTTAGCTGCTTCTTTGTTCTGCCCAAGTATTATCAACATTGGATGAAGGTGTCTGGAGCATCTCTCATATGTTTTCAGTAGCTCAAAAACAAGTTGTGCCTTCTTCCATCCAGGACATAAAATAAGTGCTAGTGGCTACAAACATATGTACAAAATTTTACACCATAGTGCTAGACAGAATTCAGAATCTGAACAATTGTACTACTTCACCATTTAGGGCAAAACCAAAACCATACAACACAGGCCTTTAAGCACTTCAAAACTGAAGTTTTTGGTACTATATCACCTCCTAAATGCAGATGTTACAGACCCAAGGAACCATACACCAGGTTATCTGGAGATAAAAAGGTTGCCTGCAGCAACACATAGTAAAAGGTGCAAAAATTTAATAGAAGCAGGAGTATCTTGTCTTACTTGGGCTTATACTAGGCAATTTCCAGAGGTCCTTTACAATCTCAATAATTCTGTGTTTCTATGATCTAATACAAATTAGAAAATGAATTACAATATTTAAAACAGCTAATACAAATTTTAATGACTACACACTATCCCCTTAAAAACAAAGCTTCATCAAATATCAGATATGCCATTAACAACTTGTTAGATATTACTTGGTAATAAGTTTTAGACTCCCACATTCATGCAGTCCATCTCTGTAAGCCTCTAAGCAGAAGGCTTATACAAACTGACAAGCATTACAAAGATACAGCAAGGTGACATTAAACGTATACATTCTGAACGTCCACTATCTTTTGGATGATTATTCTGTGTCTGCACTTTAGAATAGAAAACCTGTTACTACTCTAATATATACATACTCCATTCTTGTTTGGCAAGGCTTTGTAGCAACTTCCCAACTGCAAAAATGTAAGAACTGGTGGAATATATAAAAAAGGATTATTTCCTTGATGCGAGATGGCAACTACATCACATCCTCGAGCTACTGGCGGCCAACAATAAGATTCTGTGAAGTTAGGGCCTAAAAATTTTTTCCGAGTAAGTTCCTACAGAAAGAGAAATTAAGAGTTCCACATGAAAACATTGTACTTAAACACTAACAAAACACAACACTGAGTGACATAAAAACTTTTGACCACCTACATAATAAATATCCTTAATATGCAATATGAAAAATTTCTGGGCTGAATTAAAATTCAAATCCCATGAGTTGTGGCAGTGGCTGATATACCAGAAGAAATGTGTACAATTCTTACAGCATCTCTCTGAAGCTTCATTTATTCAACCACATGACAAACCTCCTAGACATTCCTTAACCAAAATTAGATATTACTGTAATATTTAGTATCTGAAGTTGGGGTATGATACTAGCCTTAAAAAAGATATTCAGTGTAATATTGTACATTACCATTACCTTTTTCAGTTCATCAGAAAGTGGTGCTGTTTCCAGAACTGATGACGGCTCAATTTTGTTGCTAAGAAAGACAAAGTTCCTTTCTTCACTAAGATTTTGAAAACTCTGAAACTGTATGACAAATAGATGACAATGGCAATACTTAATAAAAGGGTTTTAGCTTACATATGACTCAAAAGCACTTACTGCATTAAAAAAAGGTATTTTGATAAAAATAGCCAAAGAAATGGTAAATACATTTTAAATATGACTCATATATGCTGATAAGTTACACAGACCAGTGGTGAGACAAATACTCAGTATTTCGTGAAGGAAGATTTATCAAGATTGTCTTAACACAACTGTCTTAAATGACTCAAGAGAATGCATTAGATGTTCTGTGTATAGCTAGCATTCAGCCATAACAAAATCAAAATACAATTAAGGTGACTGGTAAGATTTGCTGTGGTGGGTTGGCCTTGGCTCACAGCCAGGCACCCAGACAGCCACTTGCTCACTCTCTCTCCCCTTCCAGAGGGATGGAGGAGGAGAAAAACAGGGAGAGCAAGCAAGAAGATCCACGGGTCAAAATAGAGACAGGGTTGTTACTTAGCAATTACTGATGTAGGCAAATCAGACTCAAGTTTAGATTAACTTAATTTGTTGTCAATTAATGAGTACAAAGAAACAAACATTTACACACTTCAAAAAAAACACCTTTCTGTCCCTGTTCCCAGGCTCAACTTCACTTCAAACTCCTCTCTCCTCATAATCAATGCAGGTTACACCCAGTCCCACCATTGAGGCAATGAGCAGTGCAAGGCAGGGACTGCAGTTTCTCTCTGTTGCTCCTTCCCTCTCACTTCTTTGCTCCAGTCTCTTTGGATACATCTGCTCTGGGATGGAGCACCTCCTACTCTTCTGACCTTGGCACTGCCTCTGTTTCTCACTTTTTTTTTTTGTTCCCTCCCCTTCATTTTTTGCCCTTTCTTAAACATGTTTTCACAAAGGCACCATCAACTTTGCTGGTTGGCTAAGCTTTGGCCTGCAGTGGATCTTGTTGCCAATGCAGCTGGAATCAGCCCCTGACCTCCTTCCACAAAGGCCACCCCTGCAGCCCCAACACTACCAAAACCTTTCACATACACACAATACATTTGCACAAGAGAAGTTAAATGAAAGTTAATGCTTGAAATACCTGTTGCTCATCTTCAATTATGTGTGTCTTCAGAGGATCAGAATTTAAAAATTGCTGAAACCTAAGAAACATAAATATTTAAATCCAACATTTTGCAAAAGCAAAATGTAATTTAAAACAATCAACACACAAAATATTTCTGATCTATTATCTACGCCAAGGAGGAAAACCCTCAAACAAATGGAGGAAGAAATGAAAAAGTACCATTTTGAAAATAAAAGTTAGTATTAGCTTTTAAGTATCTGAAAATTATACTAAAGAATTTTTTTTAACAAAGATAATTGGTAGGTTTCTCAGCTTCAGAAGAAAATCACACTGGACTGTAGGAAAAGGGTTTATTAAACTTTCAAAAAATGAAATTATCTTTGTGTCAGTTAGAAACTGAATTAAAAAACAATCCTTGAGTTTGACATGCATCCACCAACATGCAGCACAGTAAAAACGTTGCACAAATCAATTTATAGTCATATTTCATTAAGTTTGAAAACTTTATAAATCACACTAAGAACAGAATGAAGAAACTTAGGTTTAGTGTGCAGAAAAAATACTTCCCCATCACATCCTTGTTGTCAAGCTATTGTTTAGAAAGAACTGCTATTTTTATTGTAGTCTGGATAAGTACCAGTAGCTTCAAATTCCCTTCTTTCCCAAAAGCACACGTATGCATCTTCTTTTATCTGCCCTTTTAACTGCCTAAGAATAGTAACAGGAAACATACTACAGGTCCTAATTATCTGATTGCATAGCCATCTAAAATATTTAACATGCTGCACCATACCTGTCTGTGTGAACTGCTGTATTTTCCTTGAAAGACAAACCTGGAATTTCTTTGACAGTCTATCAAGAAAGGACAAACATATTTTTAGCACTAAAATACTGTTCAAGAGCAACATTTTAGAAAAATTATTTCTTTCGTTTATTGAGTTGAAAGTGGTTTTCTTACCTAACTCTAGGATTCTCAAAATATTTTGGAGAATTTTTGTACAAATTGTAAGTCTGTCTGCATAAAGCAAGTTTTTATGAAACAAACTTCAGAAAACTAACTTATTACAGAACAGTATTTTATTACTAAGACTCAAGCCTGTGACAAGAACATCACCCACACAAAAGAAAAATTAATTTATGGTCACATCTCAAGCTCTAGCCATACTTGGGGACCTGAGTTAGCATGAACACATACTAATTAGTTTGTAAAAATTTTCATTTTTAAAACAATCATGGAAAGCCTGTACAGCACAGACAGAAGGAAAAACAAAAACAGGTTACCCATCTGCACACTTACTAAGACAATGCACATGAACTTAAATTGAACAACACTCAAATCCTCAAGGGAGAAACCAGTAGCAGATACTGGATCTAGAGTTACTCCAATGATGTCTGATTCTGAACAAGGAATTTTCTAGCATTCATCATTAGTCACCAGCAACGAACAGGCATGACTTGGTCAAAGACTTGCATCACTCAAGTGGCTGGTAAAGGTAATGCAGCTGACTTTGCAGAAGGGTAAAAAGGTAATACTGCTCTGCTCCAGTAACAATCCACACTACTACTTTCATCATTCATTCTAAAGTATTTTAATAAGGTATTATAGTTCAAGTTCAGGAGTGGTTGTCATCCCTCAATTTTCAGCAGAGCTAAAAAGTAACTTCTGCAAAACTTTTTTCCCCTGACCTAACTGAAGCAGTAGTTCCATTGCTATCACAGAACAAAGTTTCTCCTTTAAAGCATGTAACAGAAGAGGACATGGAACAGCACATGGGTTCTTTAAAAGAGCCAAGATCGCCTACGTTCAGCAGTGATTATTTGCCTAGAATCTACCAGTTCTTTTTCCTTTCCTCCCATGGATGCTGTAATAGCTCCAATTGTGCAATTCAGTACACAATTTAACACTCAAGAAGGAGTGTTGACCTTTTGAAAATGTTTCAGAAGAGAACAGCAAGCAAAAAAAAAAGAGATAATAACAAGAAACCAGATTAGATATTGAAAGTATTAGACAACAAATTAAGAAGATACTCCAATGAATGTATACCATGGTACAGCATAAGGACTATTTTGTTTTCAGTTAAACATTAAAATATACATTTTGATATATTCAGAAAACTGTGTAGACAGCTATCACGTTCATAAAACTATAGCAAAGCAGTGCAAAAGGAGGCCCACCTTTTTCAAGGACTATAGTACATTTTTTAAAATTTTCTGCAATTTAAAAGAAGAAACTGAAGTAGAATGTTCTTTTTTAATTATATCAAGAATTAGTGCAGTCTCCCACATCTATGTTACATAGAAAGACAAGCTAAATGACTACAGTATTCCTAATATGTCCTATGTATGTTTAATTTAGTTCACCTTTGACAATTTAATACAAAATTAGTACTTACAGGTGCAGTACTTTCGTTTAGATCTGTGCTTGACCTTTGGTGTGTGTCTTCAGGAAAGAGTCTGGAAACAGCAAGATCTAGAAAGATAAGTAAAAAATGCAGAAACACACTTCTGATTATCTGAACAAATAAAAAGCCAGTATTTTTATTTACAGTGGGTTGTGACTGACTTTAGTTGCTTGAGACTGACTTTAGTTGCTTGTATCATTTCCTAATGGCAAAAAGAACAACAGCAACAAAGTTATCTTTAAAGATAGCTATACAGATGAACTCAGTGAACAAGGATGCAGGATGGAAAGTTGCATACTTTCAAAAAGAAAGACTTGACCCACTATAAATGAGACAACTCATGGTAAACATCTGTTTTAAAAGTACCTCTGTTCAAATAAATCCCTCCAAACTTAAAAAAAACAGTAATGCATCATTTATCAATGCCACAAGTAATTTCAATATCTATTGCTATTAAGCATATTAACAAATGCCCATGTAACTCACACTCAGCCTTCCTTTATCTTACATAGTACAAAAAGCTTTATAATATTCCTGCATCTTATGATTTGTTTGGTCTTTGTAAAGTCTGATACATAAACATCATTTCTTAGAAGGATACCATTTGATGCAATTATTGGATCGAACCAAGACAGTAGGTTCATCCTCAATACATCCAACTAAAGACACATGACTCATTGATGTATGATTGTTTCCAATACGTTTCCCACCTGTTTCAAGATTTGTTAAGACCTTCTCCTGAAATGGCACTGGCCTGAAAGCAAGCGCAGAATTAACAATTTTCACTGGAAGAGACTCAAGATTTAATGACGTTTGGTTCTCCTGATAATCTGCAGAACTCCCTGTATTGTCTTTAGCTTCCTCAAAACGAGCAAAGTTCTTTGAGACAAGATCGTCATTAACACATACCTAAAAAAACAAGATCTTTATTGACCAGTATCAACAAGCAAAAAACTACAACACCACAAACTTGTTTAGAATTTATTTGAAGCTTTAAACAACAGCAGTGAGACATAAACAGTATCAGCAAATGCTTTCTGAAGAATATTAACTCCAGAATAGGAAAGTCAGTCCTATCTTCCTGTACGTTCTCTGAAAAGGTGTTAATCAGTTGCCAGTTTCATGCTTCTGTCTAAAATTCTGTACTCAATTACTTTGTTGATGAGCCCTAAAAATTAAAAAAACCCACACCTGTTGGTAAGTCAAGCTGGTTTATTTCTTTTTGATTCAGTGTGCAGAAAAGTAATACTAAACCTAAAACTTCTTAAACTCCATTGGCTCAGAGATCAGTGACACTATTGCCAATTAGGATTCTGAACTGGGAGAAGATATTCAAATTAATATGTACCTTCAAAGTTATTGCCTATGGCAAAGACCACAGCTCCAGCGTTATGTGCCTTGGTAAAGCACTCCAAGTCAAAGCAGTGTTCAAATAAATTCACTTGTATGTACCATACAGGTGTTTATGTCTGACAGTAGCTACAGCAGAGATTTAGCATAAGTTACACATTTCAGCAAGTGGAATTAGTTGGTTTTTTTCCCCAAAGGTTTGAGGACTCAGTCTTATTCAAAAGCAAGCGTGAATTTCTATTTATTTTTATAATACTATGCAACCGCCTTATTGAAACATCTTTAAGTACGATACCACAAAAAGGTGTGAAAATGCACTAAATAATTCACATAGTTGTCCATTTGAAATACTTGCTGGACTTCACTTGCTTGTCAATACCTTCCAAAGAAGAGGTTCACAAAGAAAAATGGGATTTCTGCCTCTTGGAATTCCCTCAGAAGTTTACAAGCAACAGAAATATAAACCAAAACCTCTAATAAATTGATGATTTAGCTTCTACTGTAGCTAATAGGAATTACAAAACTCACTTTTGAGTAATGCTTTTCAGTCTTAATCTAATCGCAAAGTTATAATTTACATAGCAAATTAAGAGGCAGATACAAAAGTATCTTACCTTTTCATCTTTTATTGTCACATAAAGAAAAACATCAAACGTGTTATCTTCCACGGCACATAACTTGGCTTTCATTTGAGTAGTTGCTGAATATAGTAATAAACACAAGTAAAAAAATTAAACTCTTATCAAATTATCAGTATTTTTCACTTGTACTTTCCGAGATAGACAAAAATATAAATCACAATTAGACCCATTTCTTTAGAGAAGCTAGTACAAGTGTAATAACTTTTAAATAAATCCTAAAAGGTAACATGGCTATAAAAACTTAAAAGTTACAAAAATGAAGTTGTCATTAGTCTTTGAAGGAAGATTGAGAGCCGAAACAGATTAATGACCTTTCCACACAAACTAGTCTTAGTTCTACACTAAAAGCCTTAGTTTATTTTTTAGACTCTGACAATCTATAGTACAAATGTATACTTTCCAAACTTGACGTTTACTTTTCTTGAAAGAAGTTATATTTGCACATTTGTATAGCTTGGTTAGGCTCTCCATTCAACCAAACATGGCTGATAAATTCTGTTAGTAAATTCTGAAGCACTTCTGCATGCAGTAGTGATGTACTAGCAATTAAAAAAAGTATGCATCACTACTTATGGTACAGTCTGGGAATATCTACAAAATTAAATTCAATGTTATTATTGCTCCCTACTAACCTTTACTTTACATAGTGACACTTAGACTGGGGGAGGAGGAGGGAAGGAAAGTCATGAGAAGTGCTATGTCCCAGTTACCATGTGAAATTATCAGCCTGAAGACCCCTTATTGCTTTCATAAACTCATTCTCTGTTCCCCAAATACCTTTTATGTGGAGTTTGCTATACTTGTAAGTAGGTAGGTAGTTTTTCAGACAGAAGCACGCAAGCAAGAAGATCAGAAAATCGCAGTAAAGAGCTGCTTTTCTACTAAGAACAAAAGCTGTCTCATACCAAAATAGAAGATGTGATATGAAAAAGACTGGATGATCTACTGGAACACCAAACATGGGAAAGGACAAGAACACACTTGAGAAAAAGCAGTTCTAGCTTACTAAATAACTACTTGCAGCTCAATCTATTTGTTAACAACTATAATAATTATATTCTTCCACCTACATCCTTGTCAAACAACTGAAAGGGTAAACTCCTAAACCCGATCTTGCCATCTCTGTACAAAACTACAAAAATACAGCAGTGATGCTGATTCAAAAATTTTAGCTAAAAACACAGAAAGGCTCCACTGTTCAAATCAAACATCGTGTGAGTGCTACCTTATTTAGCCTGTCCAAGAGCCAGATACCATCTAAACTATCAAAATTTATGCAGCATGGAAGCCCACAGTTCTCAAGATGCAGCTCCACAACTATTTTTGCCTTAGTCCATACAAAAAGCCTCCTTTCTCTTTAATAGACAACATTCTTAAATATAATCAAATATATAAACACAAGCACTACATTTCTCTAACAATTTATTTTTCCCAAAACAGAAGTGCCAGTTATGATTTTGGCAGGATGTTTTATTTACCTTTGAGAAGGTTTTGAAAATAATGAGTAGCAGCACTATCCCACCTGTTGGCTGGTCTAGGAAAATAAACACAACCAGTTATCCCACATCATGAAAAACTGAAATGGTAATTTTGGAAAAAACTTTGAATGCATGTAAAGAAATTATTTCAGGTCATGCCAAGTCTTAAGAAGTGCACCAACTAGACACATTAGCAGAATCTTACTCGTTACAATGTAACTTCAGTCTTGATAATATTGTTTCAGCTCATCAGTGAAATTAACATAAAAAATTACTGGATGTTATTTTGTTAAGGTATGATGGCTTACATGCAACATAAAAAATGATGGTTAGAAATTAAACAGAACAACCAAAAATAAAGCAAGAATCCACTTGCAGAACATATTAATTGAGCAGTATTAAACAAGCACTTAAACACTGAAGTGCTGAAGACTGAAAGGTCTGTAGCAGAAAGTCAAATTCACTCTTTACCATTTCTGTAACTTCAAGTATAAAAAAAAAAAAAAATCAAACTAAGAGCACCGTAAACAAAATATGACAATCTACTACTTTTTTTGATAATTTGCAATGATGGCCCATTCAAGATAAATGCTATTCCTGTCCAAATTATGCTAATATTTGTTCTGTCAGAATATTGGAAGTAAAATACTAATTTTTTTCTTCCAAACAGAAGTATAAAAAGACTCCACACAACTGCTTGACCACATGTAGGGTGGTTTTTTTTTTTGGTTTTTTTTTTTTTTTTACCACCAGACCCCAGTGAAAACCTTATTCAAGTCCTCCAAAACTGCAGTGAGAAAAAACTGAGATGAATATAAGGAAAGCACAACAGGAATCCAAAATATGTCAATAAAGACAGAGTGGGGAAAAACAAAGCTACCTATAAACAGCTACAGAACTTCAGCTAAGCATGTAACTACCACAAAAAAAAAAGTAAACAAGTATCAGGAGTAAGATGCACATCTGTGAGAAACATCACATAAGGATAGATCAGTAAAGAAGTTCATATGCTAGCAATCAAGAAACACAGCTCTAGGATGATAAACAAAGGGCAAGAACTGGCAGAAACTTGTCTGAACTTCTAAAGGTTTTAAAATAAGTATCAAAAGATTCAAACAGGTAAATAATAAAACTTAAATTATCAAGGAAGAATCATTAAGAAAGCAGCTCCGTTAAGAACTGCTCCTCTGAAACAGAAAGCTTTCCGAATCTGATTTCCTACGTTCTTCTTGAAACATAATCTCTTCTAAAAAAAAAAAATCTGCAAAAACTTCACACTGAAGAAATTTATGAATATAATACATTTATTAAACTCTACTTACACTATTTTTGCAGTATCTTCACAGAAGTCGATACGCAATGTCACTGGCTTTGTGCGATACAGCCTACACTTTTTTGCTCTATATGGGATCTGCATAAATGCTTCCAGTGCAACTCTAATGCTTAAAACCAAAGCAAAAATAATCTCAATTTGCACTTAGTAAGGGAGGAAAGTAAATAGAAATAATGTTAACTGGCAATCATGTATTTCAGTCATAACAAACTGCCATTATTTCAATTTTAAATTTTTAAAAACCCAAAACCTATAATAGAATTGGTTTACATCCACACTTGCAAGGGCTTATCATACGGCTAGCAGCTTCTTGTGGACGCAACCCACACCTCACTTGCCTTGCCACTATCAATCTAAATAAATATTAGTAGTATTTGTATCCATTAACTAACAAATACATTTCAGTGACAGTGTCAAAAAAACATACACTTACTCCTTTGATTTAACAAAAATATATTTTGCATAATCCACGAGAAAACATTCTGTTTTATAATGATCTGTACAGTACATGATTGACTTAATAACTGCTCTACACCAGCATTTCAGTTCTTCACTGAAAACTACACAAATCTGAAAAAGAAAGAACAAGACAGCAGGTTCTTATAAATGGAGCGAATTACACTCAAAGTTTTTTTTAGAAGCAAGAACATAGTATTTATTATACAGCCCTCAGTTTTCTTTTTAAAATGCAAGCGTTGCAGCTTACGTAGTTATTCAGTTGACAGATAAGAAGATACAATCTATATCGATGCCATTATCTACTTTCCTACACAGCAATATTAAAAATAAAGATTAATGTGTATCTTGGGTACTTAACCCCCAAAACAATGCAAATAACAGATTATTTCTCTCTATCTGCACAATATAGCAATGATTTTACCTGGCCTTCTTCTACTGTTAGTGGTTTTACTTCATCCATATCTTTATAAGATTTGTCATAGAACTGATTCATTTCAGCATTCAGGTTTTCATATTCTATTTCATCAACTATGTAAGGCCCACATCCTTTCATAGTAACCCAAAAGCAACCTGGATCTTCAATCTGGGGCAAGGGGTAGATGACAATAACAAATATTATTAGTTCCTGTTAAACGATAGGATGTTTTTAAGAACATCTGAGCAGCAAACGTAAAAATAAAACTTAAAGTCTTTAGTGAAATACCTTAAAAACTATGGTGACATACTTAGCATACAGAATGTTAACAAGCAAAACATCTTTCAACTTCAGACCATTAGTTCATTAAATGACTTCACAGCCTGCAAGTTTCTTTAGCACTGCAATTAATGCCACGCATAGTCTAAAAGGTAGTAGCATTGTCTAAAATGGTGGCTAAACCAGAGAGTAAGGTGCAAATACATCAGGCTTTTTACTTCCATATTGTCCTCAAGAACTATGTATAAAAAACCCAATACACACAGCAAATCCCATCAATGGGCTTTTCTTCATGCTCAGAGAGTCTACAAGACAGTTTCTTTAAAAGTGGGTCAGCCTTTGTAAATCCTTATATCCCAGTCTTTCAGCTGATCTGGGTCCTCCATTATGGGTTAATCCCAATAGGCAGCTAAACACCACACAGCTGCTTCCTCACTCCCCTGCAGTGGGATAACTGAGAGAATTGGTAAGGGTAAAAGTGAGAAAACTCATTGGTTGATATAAAAACAGCTGAACAGGTAAAGTAAAATAAATTATAAAACGTATATAATCCATGTATGACCCTACACATGTAAGAAAGTGCTGCTGAATAGAAATACAGAGGTATCATCTTATTTGTAAATCAGTTTCAGAGAGTTGCATTGAAATAAACAAACAGTAATCTTTTAGACTTTACAAAATGCCAGCATACCTCTAATACCAAGACTTCCATGTTTCTCAGCTAGAATCTTCCTCAACACTCCTGTAAAAGAACAATGAACATTTGATTGACCATTTTTAAAGCTGTCATTTGTTTTGAAGCATATCTAAAGAACATACACCTAAAACAAGTCTATAGATTTTTGCTAATTGTCTCAGGAGTATCAGGCGAGGCAACAGATTTACATGTTTCAAAGGGTTCAGACCAGCCTTCTTAATAAGGCAGTGCGTTAAAGTCTAATTAAAATTTGCCATTCACGCTTATTTACATACATCAATTTTTAGTACACCAAAACACACCTGTTATCCTCAACTTACATAGAGTATATAGCTGCTTATTTACATTCAAAGGCCAACATAAACAGACTGATTGAAGACAAGGGCTGCTGCAATCTGTCTACATGACCAAATGGACAGAAACACCACAGGGAAATGCTTACATAGTTTAAAAAAACCCAGCAAAACCTAACACAAGAGAGCCCCAACCTTAGCAAACAATTTTAACATAACAGATTTTTACCAGTATTTCACATTACATTCATCTGCAGTAATACATATCATACCTAGGAATTACAATGGAATAATAAACTACCTACAGAATGAAGTAATTTGCATTTCATTCTGGCACAAACCAGCACATCACTGTAACACTGCAGTGTCTAGTTTACCACTTAAAAGAATTTACACTGGAAGTAGATACATAATAAAATGTTTCAGGAGAGGAAAGTCAAGACTTCCATCTTACACTTCCAAAACTAGTGTTGAACAAGTCAGCACAAAATAAGAGGCAACACAGCTATGCTATGGTCATAATTAGCAACATGCTTTGCTAAGGGATAGTGCTAATTATACCCAGTTTGACACTACAATGAAACAGCCGACACTATTTTAGAAGCTTTACCTACTACCGTATGACACAAACATATCATCCAGGTTACGTGAGTCTCTAACGCTGCACTATAATATACTATAACATGAGATACATAGTGCCACCTTAGATGCTTAAAGATACACAATTTTATTTAAGGAATAACATGTGATAGACATAAATAATCTCTCCTATTCTCTCAGTTTGAGAGGTGCAAAACCAATAAACAACCTATCAAAGTATCAAGGATAAACCACACCCACATAAGAGCATATTAGGAGAGCTAGCCTCTTAACAACAACATACCCACTTTGTCATTAACAACTAAGAACAGAAATGTTTGCTCAAAACCCATACCCAAAAGCAATGACATTATCCTTGTAAAGATGCAAGAGATCACTAAATCCCTCACCCCAAACCACTACCTTAAGAAACACCACAGAAGGATACCACTCCAACAACACAAGTCTGGTACAAACACTCCCAGAAAAAACCCAACCAACTCGCTCTCCCAGCCTCCTTCCCTGTAGTCAGCCTTATTCCATCTAAAAACCCCCACACCCAACAGGTACAGCACAAAGAAGAGCACAGTAAAAAGTGAAAGACTGTTAAGTAACAATGTGTTTTGCTTTATTCCCTCTCCTCTCCCCCCCCCAACTTTCTTCACACTCCGCCTATAGCTCCACACTCTTCCTCATAAAGATAAACCCTCTAACCTTAGCCACCAACATCACCACAACCACGCCTGGCCAAACACAGCCCAACACGAAATCCCCACTGCTTCCTTCAGAAACTTCCAGAAACAGCCAGCCTGCCCGCCTCCAAAATCACCCCCACTGCGCAAGCGCCGTGCCGCCCAGTGCGCATGCGTACGCAGGCCGCAGACTACAATTGCGCGTGTGCGCCCGGGGGGATTCTGTGTTTCGCTTGCTGCGCATGTGGCGTAGTTCGCTGAGGAAATGCCGGGCGGTTGGTGGAGGTGAGAAAGTGCGTCGTCGGAGTGGGATCAGAGCCCTGTAATGGTGCATTCTCGACTCTTTAAGTGTATTGTTGTGGCAAACGAGTCTTAAGTAAAAGCTTTGCCTTTCTGCTGTTCCTGCCCCGGGCTTGGAGGGGCAAGATTCGCCGTGCAGTGCTGGTGGTGCCTCAGGCTGAGGAGGAAACGCGCTGGGCAAGAATGCGGTGGTACAGCTAGAAGGTGGTGGGCTGAGGTTGTTCGTGTGGTGGTGTCTTCCCGAGGCAGGGTGGTATCCCACATCCTGAGGCGGTAACAGCCGGGGTTTCTGCAGCACACCTGTTTCCCAGAGGCTGCAAATTCTGAAGTGGAGTATATTCTTGAAAAGTGGATAAAATTAGGCATATGGTGAGAAAGTTGAACTCCAATAAGGAAGTGCCAGGTGCTCTATGCTACTTAAATATGTATATCCACAATAGAAGACAGGTGTAGTAAACTTTCTGTAGTATTTAGGGCTTAAAGAAAATGTTCACTCTTGTATCTCAAGCTCTGTGGTAAAGCAGCTACTTTTTTTTTAATTCACTCTGTTGTCCTTTTTATTCAGACTTTTAGGGAAAAAAATGTTTCAGGCCTGACTTAGTTTTGCACAAGGCTGCATAGGCAAGGTGCCAGCCCAAGAAAAGGCAATGAAATGTGCAGCTGGGAAAAAAAGCCCATCTCTTTGGGCAGAAGCCTGTACTTAAGAGTGGCTCAGTATTTTGAAACTACAGCTTCAATAATCATTATTTTTAATATACTATTAAAAGTTATTTACTGTATGTATATTCTAAGCCATTTATGCTTGCTTTTTTTGTTACTCTCTCTTTTGGCTTTCAAGCTCCCTCTACTGGACCATTTTGCTTTTGTTGGTATAGAGGACAATCAAAGATGGAGAGACACACTGTTCACTTCAGATAGGGATATAGTATTGAAGTAACTGTTTTTGATAAACAGCAAAAGTTATATTAGAATAAAACTTATATTAGGGCTACAAAGATGATCAGAGGACTGGAGCACCTCTCTTGTGAAGAAATGATGAGAGCATTGTGGTTGTTTTGCCTGAAGAAGAAAGAACCTTATTGTTCCCTTTCAATACTTAAAGGGGGGCTTATCAGAAGGATGGAGAGGGATTTTTTTACCAGGGCCTGTAGTGACTGCACAAGGAATAATGATTTAAAACTGAGAGTGGGTCTAGATTGGATATGTGGAAGACGCTTTTTACAGTGAGGGTGGTGAGATACTGGAACTGGTTGCCAGAGAAGCTGCAGATGTGTGATTACTGGTGTTCAAGGTCATGTTGGATGAGGCTTTGAGCAATCTGATGTAATGAAAGATGTCCTTGCCATGTCAGGTGTGTTGGGTTAGCTGTTTTTTGAAAGGTCTCTTCCTCCCCAAACTATTCTATGATCCTATTACTAATTATCACAGGGTATTTTTTTTGAGCCTCTGTCTGCAGGAACAGAATAGTTTACAACTGTTGCTACACAACAACAATTAAATAGAAATAGTTTTGCAAGTGTTCCTCTGTCCCCCTTTCCTGGGCTGATAGAATGATCTTAATTTCTTGCATTACTGTCCACCAGCTCAAAATAAGCTCTTGGTTCTACATAGAAGTTGAAAGGACCCCGACCAATACAACATCTTTATCAATGTTGTATCTTGTTACATTTGTGTATCTGCTCATTGTAACTTGTAAAACAGTCTAGCTATTACTCAGATGACTTATTTTGCTCATCATGAATAAATAACTGAATCATTTTGAAGCCAAGATACTTGTTACTATAGAAACCACAAACATGATCATAAACATGCTCTTACTACTTGTCTTCCTAGTGTACTACAGTGACCAGTGTTAATCTCAAAAAGCTAAAAATCATGTGAGACAGCAATAATGGCTACTTTCTTTGCTTCCTTGACCCTCCATTTAAATTTTTGTGTTGTCTTCATGTTCAGAAGTTAGCCATAACATTCTGAAGGAGATACTATACTGCATAATATACAGTATGCATAATATACTGCTTCACATGATCCATGTTTAGCAGAGGTATACGAATTTCAACAAGAGCTGCAAAACCAAGAATGGTCTGAGTGTATTCAGAGGGAAGAGACATTTTTTCCAGTCCAAATGAATGCTACAAACAAATTGAATTTAATGAAAATATTGCAGAAGACTTTAATTGAAATAAAGAACAAAAGCTGAAACAAAGTTTTCTGAACAACTTTACTGGCTAATCTCAACTCATCATTCATTCTTTTTCCAGATAAAGAACAACTTGTATCACTGTTCCACTTATTGAACAAAAAAGACAAAACCAACCAACTAAAAATCCAAAATAAAAAAGCAAGCAGCAGTCTTTCCTCTGAAGTTCTTGAATCTCAGATATTTAGTAAAGTAGCTGAGAAGCAAAATATGGGATGTTGAAATATGGAAGTGGCTATTTCCAAGGTAGTATATTATTCCCCAAAGTTGTTGGTATCTCTTTGGAGCTAAATAACACTTCTATTTTTTAAATTGCTAACAACTTGAAGATAAAAATTATCTTGAATAAAAAGAAAGCTGAGAATGCCCTCAATATGATAGATGACTTGGTTTGTCTAAATTATCTCTACCTTTCAAAATTGTAAAGTATTGAATAGATTTACCATTAGTAGAAAGAATTTAGGTATATCACATAAAATTAACTTTTAAAAAAATTGTTATGAAGTTAATGATTCTAGCTAATAAATCTACATATACTTATTTTCCCCAAAATCAAAGAGAATAGACTGGGAGATGTCAGCAGGTATGCAATGGGAGATTTCATTCATTCCCAGACATGTTACAGTTGTCTAATGGGTAACTTTCAGAAGCATGGTAAAAGAATTCAACTCAAAACATACTTTTTCTGAACATAATGTATACTTAGCATAATATATACTTCAGTTTCCAGTGAGGAAAGGACCTGTGTGACCCACAGACCAGTGTTGCAATATATTCTGCAATTAGTATGTAAGTAGAACAAGGTGGTAATGCCTTGGTATAATTACCATCAAATCACATTTAAGTTAAAAATTAAGTTGATGTTTATGTTAAATTTTCAGTAGCCTCTAAACATTGTAACTGGCATAACTTTTTTGTTTGAAAGGCTCAAAGAATTAGGTACACATAACTTTCAAACCATACACAGAAAATGCTTTGGCAAGACAAAGGAATATTTTCCTGACTGTTTTGCAGTGGTTAGAAAGGACCAAACCCACAGTGAATATGTATGTAATTAAAAATAGTCTGGCTTTAAACCAAATGGATATTATAATCTGCTGTTGTAATCTGAACAATCAGAGTTTATCATCAATGGATTCATATGTTTATATTTTGCTTGAATATTAACATAGACAGCAAGATTGTTGATGGTTTTTATTACTATCCTGTGAAATATACTACCCTCTTTCATGAGATCTTCAACCCTCTTATTTGTTGACATGATTATTTTCTTTTCTCCTGTATAATCTGGATCTTCTGGATATAACTCATCTCCTGGGGGTAGGAAAAAAGTTTTAGTTATATATTGCCTACCTTATTTTTCAGTCTTGATTGAGTGACACTAGCATTTTTTGAATATTCTTCAGGAGTCAAAACTCAATGGAAATGTATTTTACAATGCAAAAGTAAAATGCCTTTAAACACTTCAGATTTAAAGATACAGCCATAAATTTCTGAAGTATCTGTCGGCGATGCTGCAGTACGCATCTGAGGTGTTGAGTGTTCCACTGTTCCTGATAATACTGATATGCTCTAATCATAGCCTGGTCAGATAGGAGTTTTATCTAATAGGTGGAGGGCAAGACAAATTGTTTTCCAAGTGTATAAAGATAGGCTACAGTAGGACTAAGAATAGGAACTGTTACTTCTTCTGTTTTGTTGAAGATGACTGTGTTTTGCCATATAAATGCACGCTATTCTTGTGCAAGAGTGCTGATATGTTACAAATACAGAAATTCTAGAGGTTGACTGTGACCAAAAAGACAGGAGAAAGCATAACAAAAAACAAACAAAAGAAGCAGAAAATAAGTTGTAGATGTAACTTTTCTTAAGGAGAAGGCAATAATGTACATCATGATAGAATGAGAGAGTCTTAAGTAGGAAAGGGTAGAAGGGAAATGATCGCTGCCCTATCACTGCAGTTGTGAAGACTGATACTGCAGCTGTGCTTGATCCACTTGCCATTACAAAGACAAACTATAGTAAATGAGAATTCCTACTGAAAAGGACTAAATAAGAGGAGTTCTAATACATCCTTCAGATTGAAAAGTTGAAATGCTAGAATTTCTTCATAAATAAACATAAATGGCAGCCATACGGGACAATGAGATTACGAGTGACTACAGAAATAACTATGCTGTCTGTCTGAATAACTTGTCTCTGACAGTAGCCATTATCAACTGTACCAAAGGGAGTGAAACAGTAGAAAAAGTGTGCAATAACTTGACTTAAAAGAATATTTTCCTTAGAGTTATAGATGGGTTTGTCATGTAGCTTGAGTATGTATTAATTCCCAGGCTTTTAAATATTTCAAAGAACCTTCATCTGTTTACTTACCTGGCAATAACTGAATGTAGCCATCTGAAGCGGTTAACATCACAGGCATCCAACGTTCACATCCCTCTAGAGCTCGATCAGAGCTGAACTTGTGTAACTCATGGAGTGATGAGAAGTTGCACAGCCTACACAATTCATAGAACTGAGGTGGAGGAAACCATATTTCTTCAGATTTAAAGCATTCAATGGCTTCAGGAGGTGATGACCACTGTAAGATGAGAACAAGCCTTGAAATAAGTTTCATCAGCAGATGGAAAGTATCAGTAAGTTTAAAAGCCTTTAGCAAGGAAGTCTTTACAGAAAAAGCTTGCAACAGTGCACATCTTCTGAACATAATAAAACCCATGTATAAACTGTAATAACAAAAAAAATTAAAAATTGAAAACATAAGAAAATACTTATTTTATAGGAAAAAATATTTACACATGCGAAGTTTGCAAATTAAAATGGATACTGCTTTTAGGGCCTAACTAAAAATCTGCTGAAACCAACAGAAAACCTTAAACTCAATGTGAACTCAGTTAAGAGGTTGCTACTGATGCTTCAAGAATTAAAAGTACTTCTAAACATCTATTTCTGGTACACATTGTTTTTGGAGCATGAATACCCAGCTATTTGTGCTTAGTGTTCTGCATGTTTAAACTATTAGTAATCTTTGTTTCATTTCACATGGTGAAATTGAGGATATAAATGTGTGCGTAAACATTTGCAGTAGATTTATGCTGTTAACACAATTATAACAAACTCTTTTGAAGATAAGATCTCAGGTACATTTAAATTTCTGTAGCAATATCTGTTAAATAAATATAGAAACATTAGACTAAAATTGTTAGGTAAACTTTTACTGAACTGTCTGGTTTCTTGACATCTAATTTGCTTTCAAACTCTTCAGAATTCTAGAAAAACAGACCCAAATGTACCTGACCCTGAGCTGTCTTTAAGAAGTTTCTTCATGAAGTTTTTTAATTCTTCCCCCCCAATTAAAAAACATAAAAGTTAATATAGCTCCAAAAATGCTTTTAATCATTCACTATTTCAAGTTTGTATGTAACTTTGTCTTTTGTAGTTACTTGGAAGATTATTACTAGCAGTTCTTGCAGCTGTGGAACACACTGTACATACCCGGTGATCTCTCCAAGCATACTGAGTGGTAAGGGTGCAACAGCAATACTCCACTGATAATGAATGTATAAAAAGTGATGACTGTCATGGTGGAAATGATCCGAGGTGACACACATCCTATGTCATAAAACTTCAATGACCTTCCAGAAACACACTCTTCTGCCAGCAGTTACAGCTGCACGCTTGGTGGCAGTGGCAGTTCCTGATTGGAAGGAGCGATGTACAAGGGAGGGGATTACCGTGAGGATGACAACTCCCTTTCTCACACTTTACGGGAGCGTTACCGGGACGGGGAGAGAGCTAAACATTTGGGTGACTATTTAATCGCCTTTTTCCCTAGACTGTACTGGAAACAGGCCAGAGGCTCGGTGGTTTCCCTGAGGCCGGGGCGCTGAAAAGGAGGGCTGGATGGGGCAGAACCAGGGTCCCTCCTGCTTGTTGCCATTGGGGTGCTCGCACGGCCGGGCCGTGCGGCGTGGCATGCTCTTACCAGGAAGGCTGTCACCTCTTGGTCGTCCTGCGAGGTGTGGGGCGGCCGCTTCTCCAGGCAGCACAGGTAGAA